GTTGCAACCATATCACCTGAAAACTATGCCCAACAAGCTAGAAAAAAAGGTATATCGGACCTTTTCCGATTCTTAAAAAAATAGCCAGGTTGCATACAGGTTGAAATTACCGATTGATGCTCAAATTCATGATGTTTTTCATGTTACATTGCTAAAACAATTCATGAGAAGTCGTTAGAAATTCCTTTTCCATTACCAACACATTTTATTGATTATAGTCCAGTTATATATACGGGATCAAATAGAGGTAAATCAAGAGGGCCAAAATAAACATCGGTTTATTATAGCATGGAAAGGAATGCATCACAGTTATGTTCTGCTACTTGGGAGGATGTAGGATGCTTCCTAAAAACTTATTATGATTTCAACCTTTCGGACAAGGTTGGGGTGGAAGATGAATACTGATACAAGTTAACAACATGACACATCAGACAAAGAAAATTCAGTTGGAAGAGAGAATTTTTTGGCTCAAAATAGAACAAGAAAAGTAACCAATTTACCAACTTGATATCGAGGATAGTAACATTGTAACATAATCTCTTGTAAAGAAATTGACTTTTAGATATAAATACTAATGAAAAAAAGGGGGAAAGTACTTTGCATGCTAATTAATGTGATTCATTTCTCTTCTTCTTTCTTTCTCTCACGATGTTTCTTTCTCTTTCTCATCTCTTTTATTTTCTAAATTGGCAAACGATTTCTATCATACATGGTATATCATGCCTCCAACTTTTATCAAAGAAGAAAAAGTTTAATTAGTGATATACATCATCAGGAATCTGAAGAAGTAATGATGAAGGTAGGTTAATTTGAAATCTAAATTCGTGCTTCAATTTTCGATATTGATTCATCTATCTGTCAATAAAGTAGGGTTGTGTAGCTCGCTCATTGAACACCTGTACCAAAGTTGGAATTAAGCTCCGTTGACCGAGTTGACCATTTATGATTATGTCAATGTCAATGATGCAAAATATCATATTGAACCGAATAACATCACATCTTAATATAATTGGAATTAATTGCGAAAAAGATACAACTATTGTTACCCCAACTCCAAACACAAACATCATCTGAAACAATATTATGCTTGATAAATTTCATCTTGTGTTAATTTTACGCGGAAATAATTAATTTCCTTTGAATTCGTAATATTTCTAAACTTAAAGTAGAGATAATTTGATTTTGAACTGTGTAAATTCGATGTTTTTTAGTGCGGAAAAGAAGAGTTGAAGAACGTGGAATTTATTGGACGATGTCCTTTTGAAAACTCAATTTTGGTCGAATAATCTAATAAACCTTTTTAAAGAAAAACATAAGCTATCTTGAATAACAAATCCCAAACACCCCATCAACATACTTATGTGGGTTATTTTGTTATTTATAGAATTACTATTGTCTTAATACGATTTCCAATGAGAGTTACCGACTCCTTCTCATTGGTTAAAAGTGAAAGATGTCATAAAAGAAGATTGGCGTCAATTTATTTTCCAAAATAAAACAAGTATTAATGAGGTTACTTTGTTCATTGGAATTGGAATTAAATAATAAACAAAAAATTCTTTTCTTATTAGATTATAGTGAAGTTTTTAGAACAAGGACCTGATCCAAATATGGAATTTAGGACCCATGGGATTCGCAGTTAAACTTTCGACATAACTATATGTTCTCTGCAACATAATATCCGTTTTGTATTCTGAGTAATTGAACTCAGCTCTACCCTTTTGACATCTATGATGAGCCAACTGATTTGGTCTCCCTTGAGGCCTTGACCCTCCTATGATTTTTCAATGTAATATCGAACTAATTAGGTATAAATTGACAACATGAGTTAGAGGATAAAGTTACATTAATGCAAGGAATGTTGGTATATACTTCCACCATTTATCCCGTCAACTAATTTTTCCTTCGGAATAATACATCTCCACCTTCCAAAAACACCTGGTAGATGATTATGATGATGAAACATTGTTTGTTGAATTAGCCCTAATGATGCTGCAACAAAGAGATGCGGAGCTGATGTGTATGGGTGTTGAATCTGTCAAGCCCAAATTTGATTCTCTATAGATGTTCCATGATAAAAAAGAATATAAAATGGACATGAATTATGAGTAAAATGGTAATTTGGGTACATTGTAAAAAACTACAATGTTTTTGAAGCAAAAAACGTATAGAACCATGGCTTAAACAGATAATTGTGGAGAAAAATCAAGTAATGAATAGTACCAATGCCATTTTCATCAAGTGTTTAAACTACAATGTTTAAACACATGTTTGTCGGTAATTTAATATGAAAATTGTATTGTAACAAATAGATGATCATCGGTGTTTAACAAAAACGGCCACATGAATCGAGATTTACTCCTAAAGAAGTTGATAGTCTGTTTCATAATCGTAATAATCAACTAACCACATATGCAAGTAACACCACGATACTGAGAACTCTGAGCCCTAGGTCTTCTGCTACTCTTTCTCACCTGCTGCTAATGTTGATGCCCTAATTCTTTTTCGTCTACCACACTTCCATAACAGCATCCAACCACTGATGCTGCTGCAGGCCGTGATCTGTATCATTCTCCAGAAAGGACTGCATATATTGTCGTTGAGGGAAGTGTAGGTAGTCTGGCGTGCAATTGATGTCATTTGAGAGGCTAAGGTGTTGTTTGTTTTTTAGAAAAAACCTTTTCAAACCTCTTATTGTTGCGCGGCGCAGCACACGCGCAACACTTTTCATCTCGCAGCTATTTGTTTTACATAATTCTTCATATTAAAAAACCTTTGAACGTGTTCTTCTTGGCGCAACACTTGTTTTGCGTCTTCCTACCTCTTCCAACCTCTTCCTCTTCTTTTTTTCTTGCTAAAATATTGATTATATATTGTTGAAATCTTATTTCACATTTTTTTTTCGTTTTTTTTATTCTTGTTGATTTTTTTTTCTTTTTTTTATATTGAATAATAATAATTTCTTGATAAAATATCATTATTTTATGCTAAAATATTTTTATTTTTTGTTAAAATATCATAATTTTTTGCTGAAATATCATAAATTCTTGCCGAAATGTCATACATTATTAAATTTTCGGTATTAAAACACTATTTTCGGATTATAAAATCAGTTTATTTTAATTTTTTAATATCTGCAGCAGCATGCAGATGTTAAAAAAACAAACATGCTTCTTATTACAGTCTGCAGCCGTTTGGTCCACCTCTTCTACCAGAGAGTTACAGAGATGGTCCATAGACTTTATGGATTTTTGCTTAAAAAAACAAAAAACAACTAAGAAAAGATAGAGAAGGGAAAGATGTTAAAAGAAGGAGAATGGGAACGGGTTGGGAAGTGGGAGATTAAGATGTGATAAATAGTATACAAGTTTTAATTTGACTTTTTGAGGCTAATGGAATTATGGGGAAGTAGTAATAAATAAAATATGGGGCAACCAAGTTATCAAAATCCGCTGTAGCACATCTGAAACAAAGAATCTGCCACTTTGGTAGAATAACTCACTCCTCTATCCAGGGGTACAGGTTCAAGCCATGGCAGCGGCATTTAACACATTTTTTAACAAATATGTTTTTTCTCTCCATTTTTTATTCTTCTTATATATAATTTTCTTTCTTGATTTGTGAATAATAAATAATAATATAAAATATTTTTATATAATTAAATTGTCAGATTCTATTTTAAGAATATAGCAGCGGCATTTAACACATTTTTTAACAAATATGTTTTTTCTCTCCATTTTTTATTCTTCTTATATATAATTTTCTTTCTTGATTTGTGAATAATAAATAATAATATAAAATATTTTTATATAATTAAATTGTCAGATTCTATTTTAAGAATATATTATCATAGTACTAATTTTTTAAACAAAACAATTGAGAATGGTGTATATACTGCATTACCATATAGTGGGAACAAAATGAAATAAAAAGAGAGTAGGTTTAGGTTAGGTTGAAGGATATACACTACAAAAAATAGAGGCATTATCGCTCATAAAGTCCTCATATATTGCTGCTAAAGGTATTACCGATGACTTGTCATACTATAACGTCGCCGGTTTTACTTGAATTTCTAGTAATGATAGAATGAAAATTGGAATGAGGATATAAAGATAGGTCGAAAATGCTCTAACGGCAAATCTTAATAAATCTTAATACTTGATGTATGATTGACCATTGCATGTCATTGATGTACCGTTACCATTTTTTATTAAATTTTTAAACAACATAAAATCATCCATACCGAGACAGTTATACTAGACAAAACAGGTAGCATAAACGGCACTTTGGAACTTTCCACCCTCAAAATATAATATATACTCGATGGAGTAATAAGATTGTTCTGTGTTTATTATATTCGTGAATAAATTAAATCAATAGTTAATAGTTGTTCATGTATTACGCACAAAATATTTTTAAGGGACAAATCGGTAAAATTGTAAATAACGTTTTCACATTTTTTTCTATATTTCTTGGTCTCTTTTTTCATGTTCAGCTCGGCCATAATCCGCTTTTAATTTTTACTCCCAAAATTTAAATAAAAATAATAATAAAGATATAAGAGGATCAATATATTAATAATAAAAGCTTGTTGATATGTTGTTTTGTTAAATAAGCTTAGTTTTTTTTTTTTTTTCGTTTAATAACTGTTCTTAAATCTTAACGAATAGAGCTTTTTAATAATTTAATACTATTTTATTTCTCTTTCTCATTAATTACGAAATATAATCCATATTGAGTATTTATTTTATTTTTGCTTTGTTCATTTGACACCCAAGTTGTTGATTAACATGTTCAAAATATACTCTTGTCACATCCATTTATGAACCCAAAGGGACCACGTGAAACAGATGTTCTTGTAAGTCAACATTGCAGCTCCGGCAAATGCCCATCACGACACTACCAAACAAAAACCAATAAATGAAACATGGAAATGGATTGCATAAAGATTGAAAGACCCAAGAACCCGATTACAATAAAAAATTGCTTCATTACAAAGTATGGATGATCAACAAATTCATCCACAATCCTACTGGAGATGGAGCAAAGAAGATTTCTTCCCGGAGGAATCTTTCCGGGACTGGAGTACATACAGGTACGCCTTGTCCCACACCTATTCCAGGTTCAAAGATCGTCTCCTCAGCCGCTCTGAAGATTCCGACGAGATTGAGAAGCTAAAAAAGCAGAGTGAGAATGAAATGAAGCGCTGCCTCAACTGGTGGGATTTGATGTGGTTCGGTTTTGGTGCAGTCATCGGTGCCGGAATCTTTGTTCTTACCGGACAGGAAGCCCATGACAACGCTGGATCAGCTATTGTTTTATCTTACGTAGCTTCTGGATTTTCTGCGATGCTTTCCGTTTTCTGCTATACAGAGTTCGCTATAGAGATTCCGGTGGCTGGTGGTTCGTTTGCATACCTCAGAGTAGAACTGGGAGACTTCGCCGCGTTCATCACCGCCGGAAATATTCTTCTTGAATGCATTCTGGGTGGTGCAGCAGTTGCTCGATCATGGACGTCGTACTTCACCAGTCTTCTCAATCGTGAACCAAATTCTTTACGAATACATACAAATCTCAGAGAAGGTTACAATCTGTTGGATCCAATAGCAGTTTGCGTGCTAGCAATCGCTGCCATCATTGCAGTGAGCAGCACAAGAAACACTTCGAAACTTAACTGGATTGCATCTGCAATCAACACCATCGTCATCCTCTTCGTCATCATCGCAGGGTTCATGCATGCCGACACTTCAAACATGAAACCTTTTGCACCTTATGGCCCCGAAGGTGTCTTTAGAGCTGCAGCTATTGTGTACTTCGCTTACGGAGGATTTGATACAATCGCAACCATGGCGGAAGAAACAAAGAACCCATCAAGGGACATACCTCTGGGATTACTCGGTTCTATGTCGATCATCACTATAATTTATTGCCTGATGGCGCTTTCGTTATCCATGATGCAGAAATATACAGATATTGATCCTAACGCTGCCTACTCGGTTGCATTTGAAAAAGTTGGCATGAAGTGGGCTAAGTATTTGGTGGCTCTAGGTGCGCTCAAGGGTATGACCACGGTTCTATTGGTTGGTGCACTTGGTCAAGCTCGTTATATAACTCATATTGCACGAGCCCATATGATCCCACCATGGTTCGCTCTAGTCCACCCTAAAACAAAAACTCCAATAAACGCTACCTTACTAATCACCATTTGTAGTGCCTGTATCGCTTTCTTTTCAAGTTTAGACGTATTGGCAAGTTTACTATCCATAAGCACACTCTTTGTTTTCATGATGATGGCGGTTGCAATTATCATTAGGAGATACTATGTAAAAGGGGTGACACCAAATTCGAGCCTATTGAAACTAGTAGGGTTTTTGGTGATCATAATTGGATCTTCCATAGGGACTTCCGCTTGTTGGGGGTTGGACCCTAGTGGTTGGGTGGGTTACACCGTTACTGTCCCTTTATGGTTCTTTGGGACACTCGGGATCTCGTTGATGTTGACACAACAACGGACCCCAAAAGTCTGGGGAGTGCCGTTGGTTCCTTGGATCCCTGCACTTTCAATAGCAACAAATTTGTTTTTGATGGGATCATTGGAGTATATGGCGTTTATAAGGTTTGGTATTTGTACGGTGATTATGTTGATATATTATGTGTTATTTGGTCTTCATGCCACTTATGACATGGCACATCATCAATATGAAAAGGAGCCAAATGTTATAGATGAAGATAGTGTTGGAAAACCCTAGCCATGGATCCGACACAACACTCCAATAGTCTTACCAATTTATGTTACGTAAGAATGATGCTTTAAGTTTTTTAGTGTCTTTATATAGTTTTATACACTTCAACAGTCCCGGAAGTGTATTTGTGAATGGGAAGTGATTCGTATACATCAGTTTTTTGCCATACACAACAATTTATGCATTATATAGTTGTACAATATAACATTTTAAAACACCAATTGTTGTGTATGGAGAAAAATTGTTGTGTACGGATCAGCTCCCTTTGTGAATTCATTGTCCCGAATTAGACTCCGTAGTTAAGTATCATTAGTTAAACATATATATACTTGAAATAACGGGATGGAATCAAATGTAACTATGGTGATTGATGGTTAAGCAAAGGTCAATTATATTAAGATATAGAAACTTTCTATGAAAATACATTAGATATCTTTTTAAGCAATAATCAACAAAAAAGTGATTTGCATGTATTTTTATTTATTAGCCTTTAGGTTCAAGATCATTGTTTTGTTATGTTAATATTGATTTAAGTTAATATAAATTCGTCCAAATGTTGCCTATAAGATGACATTTGAGTTTAATTTATTAGTGTATTTCAGGTCTCTTTATATATGTTGATTGAATTCTATATTTTCTTTATAATTGATCTTTTGGAGAGATGATATTTGATTGCATATATATTTATCATGATATCAAAGTCGATATCGTGTTTGCATCATTGTTACTTAACACATTTTTGTCTATTGACTCCCTATTTCTTAATGCATCCTTCTTTATCCTTATCGATTCCGTTTCTAAAATGAATGTTAGTGTTGCTTATATCAGTGATGCGACAAAATCTTTAATCTTTTATTCATCTATATATGTCGCACTTAGTAATTGTGATGATCGACGTTTAATCAAAGGTCAATTATATTAAGATAAGGAAAACTTTGTATAAAAATATAAATACAGTATATTTTAAGCAATAAACAACAAAAAGTGATGCATGCCTTTTTATTTATTAGCCTTTCGGTTCAAGATCATTATTTTGTTTTGTTAATATTGATTTAGTTTAATATAAAGTCATTGAAATATTTCCATGTAGATTTTCAAAGTAGAAGACATTTGAGTTTAATCTATTAGTCAGAGTAATACAACCATACATGGCTTACAAACTTACAAATGCTTTAGGGTTTCTGAATCTAGGGTTTGAGACTTGGAGGCTGGAAATGAGGCTAGCATGTGGGGATTAAGATGCTTATATAGGGTGCAAAACCCCGAAATTAGGGTTTCATTCTGGCAGCCCTACTCATTGAGTTGAGGGCTCTCAACTCGTCGAGTAGGTTACTTAAAACTCGCGTCACTTCTGGTCTCTACTCGACGAGTTTGGGGCTCCCAACTGGTCGAGTTGCTCTACAAAAATGAATAATTTATAATTAAAATACGTACGAGGAACTAGGAGTTACAATTCTCCTCCACTTGTCTTAGAGTTCGTCCTCGAAATCTGCTACGTTGGGAAAGAACTCCGGGTAGTGCTCCCTAATCTCCTCCTCGGGCTCCCAAGTCCACTCCGAGCCTTTGCGATGCTGCTACTGCACCTTTACCAGCTCCACCCTCTTGTTCCTTAGCTCTTTCGTCTTCTTGTCGAGAATAGCTACTGGTCTCTCGATGTAGTTCAGGCTATCGTCGACCTGAATATCCTCTAAAGGCACAATTGTGGAGTCATCCACTAAGCACTTTCACAGCTGGGAGACATGAAAACTGTTGTGGATCTGGCTGAGCTCTGCTGGAAGATCCAAACGGTAAGCAACCCGGCCCACCTGAGCCAAAACCCTAAACGGCCCGATGTACCTGGGGTCCAGCTTGCCCCGCTTCCTGAACCGGATGACACCTTTCCAAGGTGACACCTTCAGGAGGACCATATTGCCCACCTGAAACTCCAAGTCTGAACGTCGCTTGTCTGCATAGTTTTTCTGCCGACTCTGAGCAGTCTGGAGCCTGCTCCGGACCTGCTGGATCTTCTCATTAGTCTTGAGTACTACCTCAATACTCCCCATGACTCTCCGACTGACCTCGCCCCAACAGATTGGGTTCTTACACTTCCTCCCATAGAGCATCTCGAAGGGAGGTCAGTATATGATGGCGATGTAACTATTGTTATACGAAAATTCCCCTAACGTAAGATACATATCCCAACTACCACCGAAATCCAATACACATGCGCGTAGCATGTCCTCAAGAGTCTGAATCATCCTCTCGCTCTGCCCATCCATCTTAGGGTGGAAAGAGGTACTGAAGTGAAGACGAGTACCCATCTCGTCGTGAAACCGCTTCCAAAATCTGGAAGTGAAACGAACATCTCGGTCTGACACCACCGAGACCGGCACTCCATGACGTGCCACTACCTCGCGAACGTAGATCTCGGCTAGCTTCTCAGCTGATATACTCTCCTGGATCGGTATGAAGTGAGCGCTCTTGGTCAACCGATCCATGATGACCCATATCGAATCTACTCCACGTGCGGTCCTGGGAAGCTTCGTGATGAAATCCATAGTGATATCTTCCTATTTCCACACGGGAATGTCTAAGAGTTGCATCTTTTCGAAAGGCCTCTGGTGTTTAGCCTTGACCTTCCTGCAGGTAAATCACCGCTCCACGTACCATGCTACGTCCCGCTTCATGCAGGACCACCAATAATCAGGGTGAAGACCCCGATACATCTTCGTCGCCCCGGGATGGATGGAGAACCTCGACTTGTGAGCCTTATCCATCAGAACCTGGCGTACACCGCCCCAGTATGTAACCCAGGCCCTCCCATGCAGGGTCAACAACCCACGGCTGTCATAATCAAATGAGGTGTAACATCCCGAAATTCAGGTACAACTATTTAGCCCTTCTTTTATTCAAAGTGTCAAGTTAAGCCCTTAAGAGGAATTGGTAGCAAATGAGTACGCTGGGCGTACTCAAGAGTACGCTACGCGTACTCATGCGCTTATTTTGGACGCGGACTCGCCTGAGTACGCTGGGCGTACTCAGGGTTACGCTGGGCGTAATGTGTCCAGGTGCAAACCCTAATGTCTGACTTGTGCCCTATATATTGGATGCTAAGGCTCATTTCCCAGCCTCCATAGCAGTGAGTAAAACCCTAAGAGAGAACTTTTCATCGTTCTTAGTGAGTGTGTGTGATTTTGGAGCTAAAAGTGCCTTGGTGTGCTAGTGAAGAAGAAGGAGAGGAGTTTGTGGAGACTAGAGTTTGAAGTGCAAGTTTGGATCTGAGATCTACAGAGGAAGGAGCTGCATTTGGAGGTATAAAGTTCAAAACTTTCCTTTTCATTTGGTTTGTTGCTTCATGGACCATTTTAGGGTTAAAAGTCCCAAAGGTGGAGACTTTATGAGTGTAATGTGCTCCATGGACCTAGATCTGTCCCATTTCAGTGGTATTTGTGTTGTAGATCCATAAAGTTCCCATCTTGGTCGTGGATATGAGATCATGCTTGAGTATTGGGCTTTCTAGTGTTAGGAAATGGTATATTTTGGGTGTTAGTGACTTGTTCAGCCATGCAAAGGCTTAAAGTCATCGACTTTATGGATTAAGAGGCTTAAAAATGGTTAGATCTAAAAGTTGGACGTGAGTCTTAACTGTTTAAGACCTCAAGAGCTAAGGGACTGAAACTGGGATTTACGTCGGGCGTAATCCCAATACGCGCGGCGTACGGGGTGGTGTTCCCCGATTCTGAGAGACTGTCGGGTACGCCCAGCGTACACATCTGGTACGCGCAGCGTAACCCGGAGGGTTGACTTTTGGTTGACTTTTAGGGTTTGGTCTATAGTGGGGCCTTTGAGTTATGAGAGGGGTAAAATGGTCTTTTACCCTTCTGAGAGTACTAAGAGGAGGAATAGTCTAGCCTTGAGAGATGTATTGATTGAGAGTATTTATTTTACATGATTAGGCGGAGGCTAGACCTGATTTTACAGAGTTCGAGCTTTACCGAGTTACCCGAGGTGAGTCTTCTCACTATACTTTACCTAGAATGGTAATTAGAGCTATGAGACAGAGTATGTTGTATGCTTTTGCATGATGTGATTTCTATGTGTTTTATGCTATGCATGTTATAGAGTTTTCAGAGTTAGGACCGGAAGGTCCACAGAGTTAGGGCCAGAGGGTCCACAGAGTTAGGACCGGAAGGTCCACAGAGTTAGGGCCAGAGGGTCCACAGAGTTAGGGCCAGAGGGTCCACAGAGTTAGGGCCAGAGGGTCCACAGAGTTAGGGCCAGAGGGTCCACAGAGTTAGGGCCAGAGGGTCCACAGAGTTAGGGCCAGAGGGCCCACAGAGTTAGGGCTAGAGGGCCCACAGAGTTATGGGACTGGAGGGTCCCACAGAGACACCTTGACCAGAGGGTCATCAGAGTTATAGCCTTGAGTGGCTAATATGTGTTGTGTGTGGTATTTTGGGGAACTCACTAAGCATTTATGCTTACAGTGTTATGTTATGTGTCTCAGGTACCAGCGAGGATCGCGGGAAGGCGCCGGCTTGATCAGTACACACACGGGGAGATTTTTACTATGATCTTGGGATATGATGTTATGATTGACTATGTGATACAATGGTGTTTTTATAACGATTATGAATGAAAATGTGTTTTATAAAATGTGAAAAAAAATTTAAAAATTTGGGTGTTACAAGTTGGTATCAGAGCCTTGGTTTGAGGGATTCGGATACATCTTCGAGCGTATCTGAACTCAAACTGAGGAATTGAGAGATTTTCAAAATAAAATTTGCAAAATTTTTCACAAGAGTAAAGAGTTTTGAGACAAACAGAGCAGAGCCGTGTGTACGATCAGCCAGCGCCCGAACGGTGAATTCCCAAAATACCCTTGCAATTAGTGTTATGAGATATAATATGTTATGATATGCGATGAGTTATGCTATGCATGCTAGAGTAGACTAGGTATTCTTATTAGGACTAGAGTGGCCTGATATGTGATGCCTTAGTCTAGGAGTTTTGCTGCTAGGGATACT